TATCAGTTAGTTTGTCAAATGCTCTACTACTGCAGCACATTTATTATTTGTCTTCTATACCAGCTGCTTGTGTACACTGAATCAATTTTCAATCAGCCTAGAAATTAATAACTGAGTTTCTTGCAACTGTGCATGTTAAGGTGTCAAATCCTATCTAAATAATTTCCCAGGAAGCCAGATCTGATATCAGGGTCACATGTTTTCAGTTATTGGCCATATTACTGGCTAATATGCCATTGTCCCAAGAAAACCTGACAAGTCTTCATTGTTTTTCCATGCTCACAGAAGGGGAGGGGGAAATCATGCCCATAGTTACATCTGATAGTACCCACCCACCACAATCACCCCCTTCACACATTAGGCATGATTGTTTGGTCAGTGTTTGGGTGCCCTGGAATACAGATCGAAACTGAATGAACTTTACAAGTCTTTGCAGTCCTATACTTTCAAGAAGAAAAGCAGGGCCTTTTTTCCTCATTTTGTACCAAAGTGCAAATCAAGGATGAGTGACACAACATGACACTGGCAACTACAAATGCACTTGGCTAGCAGGGCCAGCAAAAAAACATAGGCTCTGGATTTAATTTAATAGAAACCCTCACAGAATTGCTTTTCTGAAGCAGAATACAGTTTGTTCCTGCCTTAGTTTTTTCAAGAAATCCCAAAAAGTTAGCACACAGCAAGCATGTTTTTAAAAATGTTGGTCTCACACTTTAGCTCTATTTGTACTGTCTGGAGTTACACCATTACCAGGGTGTTTTGAAATGCCAAATTCTTTGGCTTGTGACCAGTTTTCAAGAAGTGGGCAGCAAAGACAGTTTCAATTATTTTGCATATCAGCTTTTATAGTTTCACCATACCACTTATAGTCATCCGTTTCTACACTTTATAAGCAGCAGTACCATAGCAAGCCTCTCTGTTCATGCAGCCTCCCAGAAAAGCCCACAGACTTGGAGAAGACTATTTACCACAGACATAATACCAGTACCCAGTTTCTATCTGCAAAAAGCAATATTTTACAGACCTATGTAAAGAGATAGTGTTGGCAAAGCCATTGCCTTCTCATATCCAAACCAGAGGAGTGACTGTAATGCCCTGCACACAAAATATGCCAGATGGACTGAAGTAACCTACAGCTTGTAAATCGTTTCTTGATCTGATGGAGGCAAAGATCAGGGAAACTTTGGGAAGGATAATAGCAAATGTTCTTTACGGTTCAAAACCCAATGTGCTTGGCCACATACTTTAGAATATGCTGCCAGCCTGCCTCTAACACACACTCTTTCTTCTCTTTAACACCCAAAACTTCGTAGGATATTCTAAAATTGTAAAGCTTAGCAAATTTACACAAAAAATAGATGTAATTTACTTTTATCAAACATAACATGACGAATTTCAGAGTGCCAGCTCATCTAGTAGATAGGGCCCCTCATTTAAATTTCTGTTCAACTAGGAAGAATCAGGCCTTCTGGATAACCTACGCCCTCAGAGCTGCAATACAGACAATGTACTACACACAGAGTGCGTATTAAGGGTAATGAATAACATGCTAATTATGCCATATGAATTATATCCCAATCTCCATATGAGACCAAGAAAAATATTAGCATTTCTACTATATGGAGGAAACAAGCTTCCTTTATTAATTATTTATACCTATTTGTTCTAAACCTGTTAGTGAATGAGATGTTAGCTGGCTCTGCTTAATCAGCATTAAGACAGCAAATATTTGCACTGCGGGTTAACTTAGACAGTAGGAAGACCAACATGCTTGATGGCACACACAGATGTAAGTTACTCATTACCACAGACCACCCTGAAAAGTGCTACAAGCAAGTTATATTTTATCTCTGCATCAAAGGTTGGCTTTGAAAATATCCTCTAGAGCAGGAAAAGACCATGAGTTACAGCTAGGCTCAGCATATTTTCCTTTCATGGGCATTAATGAAGTTGCAATGATTATACTTAACTTCCAACTTTTTTTTTTTGCCCTTTTTTTTTTTAAATGCCAGGTTGTAAAAATCACCTTGTGAGGAAACAGGTTAAAAAAATAAATAAATCTAGAAATAATCTCACCTTAACTCTGAGACCACATCACTTCACTCATTTAACAATACAGCCTACTTGTTTTTGCACTAGATCAGAGACAAAATATTTATCAAAAAGGAAACCATTTTTTTCTTCCAAGTAACCCCTTCCCTCATCTCAGCAATACATTATCTTAGAGCTGATGGAAGCATGTTAATAAAGGGAAATTATTTTTTTCCCTATCTGATCTTCCTTTCAGGTAAATATAGTAATCATTTCCCTCAAAAACTCAAAATCAAATTCTCCACAGTCCAGGTTAGGTGGCGTAAGATTCGGACAAACCAGCATCTTATAAATATAACACTAATTTCTTTATATCATTTACTTCAGCCTTTAGAAATGACCACCTAACATACATGAAGTGCAGTTAACAGTATG